GAAATTAGAATAATATCTAAATTATTTATGATGGCCGTCTAGTTCTTACATTACCTGGCCTCAGTTCTCTCTGACTTCATTCTTTTTAATTCTTTCTCTGATTTACCGCTTTTTTTTTCTCTTCTCAAGCATATAAACTTGTCTCTGCTTGAAGGACTTTTTACTTACTGTTCTTTTACCAAGACTCTTTCCTCTTATATTTACATTCTTGACCTTCTACTCAAGATTTAAGACTCAGTTCAAATATCTCCTACTTAGAGAGGTCTTCCTTACATATCACTGCCTAACTCTCTGTTATATACATATTAGTTTATTTGTTATCTCTTGTTCCACTAGAAGAGTGATAATGAATGCATTAAAATATCACATTTAAATGTAAACTCAAGAAAGGCATATTTTTTTTTTCTGATTGCTGTATCCTAGGACAGTGCCTGGTACATATGAATGAATGAAAAGCAGACCTGCAAGGAAAGTGGTACCTAGACGAGGAGTCTTTATATCTGGATTCAGTTCTGACTAACAAAAGTTTCTAGCTGTGAATGTTGGGCTACCATCTCCAAATGGTGAATACCATGAACTGTCCTGATAGTTCAGGATCTATAATTGTGTATTATAATCAAATGTGTTAATACATGTGACAGCACTTGCAAAATTTAATGTTTAGCAAGAAGCCAGTTGCTCTTAGGCAAAGAATCAGTGTGACATGTGCAGTTGTAAGGAATTTATACTCCGCCCAGTACAAAATAAAGCAGAATAAAAAGTTCTTTGAGAGAAATTACGTTTGAATTTTTCCAATTAAGAAAATCATGTGAGGAAAATGTTCCTTTCACAGGCCATTTATCATAGATCCTAGAATAGAAAGGGAGTTAAGAAATACATTTGGTCTCCTGCCTTCAGAAAGGAAAAGCCTCATTAGTGGTTACAAGGAAAGTGCAGGAGTCAGACTGCCTGCCTTCGAATCTTGACTCCATTCCTGTCCAGCTGTGAGACCTTGGGTAAATCACTTAACCTCTTTGTGCCTCAGTTTCCTCATCCAAAAAGTTCAGAAAATATGACATCTATCTGAAATATAATCCTGGGAGGGTTAGAAAAGATAATATGCAGAAAACACTTGACTAGTGCCTAGTCAATAAATAGTAACAATTATTATCTTCATTTTGCAACAAAGTGACCGAATTTCAGAACGTTTAAGGGACTTTTTCAAAGTTGCACAGCTGATACATGGTAGGGCAAGACCTAGAACCCAGAACTTCTGCCTCCTAAAGTGCTGTAGGTAGATTTAAGGATTTTACATGATTTATGCAATTACACATATGTAATACCCAGAATAGACATTGGCTACAAAACAATGTATTACTGTAATAGTTTTTCTAAGGGGAAAAGAAAGTACATATATATAGTATATATATGTATGAAAGATACTGAAAGAACATGCACTAAAATGCAAATAGTGTGTATGAAGGGGGAATTTGAGAGAATGAACAGTTTTATTTTCTTTGTATTTTGCCGTTTGCCATGTTATTAGAATTCAGCAAGTATGATTTATATAACCAGAAAAAAAGTTACTTAAAAGACAAAACAACAATAATAAGAGCAGCAATGACTCCCTGATATCTCTTGAATGTGAGATTATAACAAATCCTTATTTTATTTACATCGCTTTACATTATTCAGACAATTCTGGTGTAGACGCTCTCTGAGATCCCATAGAACCTGTACACGTGCCAATGCCCCATGCTGCCAGTTTCCTCACATGTTCATATACTATTTCTATCCTGGGTACCTCATATTGTAGCACTTTAAAAATGTTTGATGAATGATACACCCATTGGGATCCTGACTCTGGAAATAGTATTCCTAAGGACCACCCCAATTCTCATTCTTTATTCTGGTGAATTATTATTATGCATTTCTGTATTCTGTTTCTAACTAAGACTTGTTATGTCTCCAACTGTTTTTTTCTTTTACATTAAAACACTTATAAACCATATTTAGCATTTCTATTTCACACCCAAGTATTCCTTATCCAGAAGATTTTAAATAATTATCCTCTGAAAAATGTCTTGGAGAAATTTGGACATACTACCCTTTAGGCTGATTTTAGATATTTTAGTGGTTTTCATGAACATTTTTATTACCTGTTAAAATAGTTTATAATCTAAGTTTCAGGCTTTTCTCAGAAAGTTTTAAGCCTGTTTTTTTTAGCAGAGTTATAAATGAGAGTTTAAAAGGCAATGAAAAGTATGTGAACCATGGCACAGCCACTTGGCGCCATAGCCGATAACACACCTACACCTGCTGGCTTCTGCTGACTTCATGGAGTGTGGCTTTGGTTGCTGCTGAGGCTAACATGGCCTGGTGTTCTTCATCAACAGACTCTAGATAGACAGATAGTTATGAAATGTTCTGAAGTAGGTATATGGAAGTTTTCACATGGTCAGATTGGGAGTTTAAGGGTTAGTGGTGTTGAACAATGTATTACACTGAGAAAGTATCCATGAGGAATTCTGTAAACATAGGAGCCACTCAGCTTCTGACTTGACAGCAGTCAGACATCTAAACTGCTGTAGGTTATAGGCAGGCTGGGGACATCATTTGGAGTAGGAAATTGGTGGCTCCAGTGGACCCCTACTTTCTGCATTCTTCTTTTATTTGATCATATATCTCACTCATTTAAAATGTGAGAGCAAAGTGAAGTATATAAAACATCACACAGGTTTAACCTTGGGAAAATTTCATAGGCTTTCTGGGCCTATGTTATAAAAAGAATGATGATAATAATAACAATAATGACAGCAACTAACACTTATAATTGGAATCATTCTGTTTTAGGTTTTGTTCTAAGCACTTGGCATGTATTAATTCTTTTTATAAAAGACTTACCTCACACAGTTTGTTGTTAGGACTGAGAGAAATAACTCAAGCAGAGCTCTTAGCATAGGGTCTGACCAATAATACTGAGTTCTCAAAAAAAGTTAGCTATTTTTTGTTGTTGTAATAATAATAATAAGTGCATTTTACTCCAAATACAACTCTGAGAGGCTTTAAAAATTTTTGGCTAGATGAAGTCCCAAGGCTTTGTAATATCCCAGAGCTACCCACAAACTACCTCAATACCTGATACATAGCAAGTTATCAGCAAATATTTATAAAAATAACAAATATTCTAAATTATATGGATGTTTTTGTAAGTAGATTTCTCGGAGAAGAAAGTGTATATATATATAGTGTATATATATATTTTCACATTCTCAAAATATTTCATGGCCTAAGAAATAAAGAAACACTACTTTGAAAGAGAATTTGTCATTGTGTGAGTAATAAAGTCCTAATAAGTATAATTGGAAAGCAGGGAGGGAAGATTTGAGTGGAGCTGGTTCCCCATCATAAGAGGACTTAGAAAAGACTTGTGATGCTAGCCTCTGGGTTGCCAGTCCAGGATGGCTCTCTCTCTCCAACTGGAAATTCCCATTTATCATCTGGGGCCATTTACTTAAGATTCTGTGGGATTACTGGCTGTACCTCTAGCCTTGAATGGATGATTCAATGTCAGATAATTTTGTTCTGGTTTTGTAGGAATCATAGAATGTTAGCACTGGAAAGAATCTCATCCATAATCTATTTCAGGGTTTTCAAATTGGTAGCAAATGTGTCACTACTCCCCATTTGATGACATCTCTAATTGGAGACAGCACGCTTTACATCTGTGTCTTTTAAAGCCTTCTTAATGTAATACTGTATGCAACCATTACCAACTTATTAAAACAAGTATATGTGAGAAAACCAGTTTCTCATTTGTATCAAATATCAAATATTCTATTACACTTGGGAAAATTGAGGAGTTGACATTTAATATGTCTATGGATTAGACTTGAACACTCTGGAGTAAGTGATACGAAAGTTTTGAGACATAAAAAGTTGTGACTACAAACTATGATTGTTTAAGTACCAAATATCATCTCCTTTGCCCCTACTGTTATTTGTTCCTCATCTTTCATAGAATAAATACGGAAATCTTTGAAAATGACCATTTACCTTTTTCTCACACACCAGTCTAGAGGCAGCTAAAAGCAGGACCCTAGGTGTTGAAAAGAAATTACAAATGATTATTTTAAGTATTATCTCATATGTTGTTTTTATTTTTAACAATAAGATAGTTATCCAAAGGTTCAGGCCTTGGGCCACTCCCTCTCGCCTCTCAGCATCCTTGAGAAGAACAGTGTGGGAAAGTCCAGGTCTAAGAGACCTGGAGCTGTTACAGCTAGCTGAGGATCAACCACTTTCTGGGCCTCAGTTTCCCCTACTGTAATAGGAGGATATTGGCTACTTCGTAGGAATAGAAAACTGGATTATTCATGCATGGGAGAGAAAAAAAATGGCTCACTGTTGAAGAGTATATTATGAACATTTAGTTATTTTCGTGTGTGTGTGTGTATGTGTGTGTGTGTGTGTGTGTGTGTGTGTGTGTGTGCGTGCGCGCATGCGCACACATGTCTGAATGTGTCTGTGTGTATGTGTGAAAAGAAAGCATATTTAAGTGAGAGTCAGGATTGGCCAGGGAAAGACATGAAATAAAGTGCGTTTTCATCTTTCTAAACCATTAATTAAGTAACACAGACCTGGCTTTAAAATTATTAAAAATCATTATAGTTCCTATAACTTTGAACGGAACCCTCCTCCTGCATTATGAGGGCATATAAGGTACAAGCCTTGTCATAAAGTTTTCCAGTTGGTCCTATGGGAAAAACTGGAGAAAACTGGAGTGTTTAGGCAGATCAGCAAAAATCAAATTCCAGCATGGCCTAGTTTTTTTTCTTTTGTTCTTTCTTTTGAGGAAGGTAAGGATGGCTAGGAAAGGAAGGATTGCGAAATACGTAAATCTCTCTCTGCCTTTATCATATACCTTCACTGGCTTAAATTCCATCCTTCTCTTTCCTTTTGCATTGCGCCCTCTGTGCAGTATGAACGTTACAGATATAAATTAGAAAATAAGCCGGTAGTATACGAGAACATATTTATTGGCTGAATAATAAAACTTAGTTAAGGAGTTATTAGAATTAGAATTCCCCCTACTTGAAGTACAAGTTTCCAATAAGCAAACAGAAGCAAAACCCCTAAATGAGAAATAATACATTGGTAATCTAAATCATAGGCATTTAGGGGTGCGTTCAATCAATCTACTTCTTTGTAATGGACTGTAGCACTGATGACTCAGACATACAATGAGAGACATAGCATCAGCACATCGACATGAGTGCACAACCACTACAAAGCTGAGACTTCTTAAATGTGGTCACTTTAACGTACACACCCACAGAGGCACTTCAGACATCTCCCTGCAAAGGATGATTTGCGTATAGTTTCTAGCCAATACTTTTACCAAAAAAACCCCCAAAAACAAAAACGAAAACAAAAACAACAACAACGACAACAAAACAAAACAAAAAAGAACCTGTTAAAAAAAACCAACAACACCTTGGAGACCCTGGTAATAAATAAGAAAGAAAAGGTGAAGAAACAGGCAACTTCCATCTGCCTGCATTCATGCAGAGCACACCCTTGGCCTTCATCTGAAAACAGGCAACTTTGACAGCTTTCAGAGCCCAGGAGAGAAGCCTGAAGGTGGAAAGGAGCTACACACTCTGCTATCCCAGTACTTCCACACTCTCCAGGCTGGGCAAGTTTAACACTGTGTAAATTGTGTTCTTTTAGATGGCGGCTGAAACAGGTGTCTCTGCAGAGTTATGAAGCCTCTAGGAAAGGCAGAAGGCATGGCTTTAAATTGTTCTTTCCAGGTGACAAATCAATAGCAGTCATATAAATAATGTACAAAACCAAAACCACTCCACTCTCACTTCTTTCCTTTTAACGATGACTTCAGATCATTCTCCAAGTGCAAATCTGAATATAAAAAATAATAAGTATAAGGGAAATATTAGGCCCGTCTTCAGTCCCCCACCCTCCATGAAGAGGCTGATTTGAAGCCCCCTCCTGGCAGCGCGCCTCTCCAACTACACCTTAAGATAATCGTTTTTCAGCCGACCTAACCGAGTCCCATGGCTCCTGATGGTGAGGGCCAGCAGCTCATATCTGTCCCTGAGCCCCATAGAGATGTCCAGCGTTTCTTTCAGCAAGGACTTGGTGTGGACCAGCATCCCCAAGAAGTCCTCGTTGAGCCTGTTCTCCTGCCGGCTGTCCTGTTCCTGGCCCTGCTTGAACTTGCTTTCCAACTCAGTGAGGGACTTGTCCGAGTTGGAGTAAGCGTCCCCTATCTGGTGGGACTCCCGGCGCAGGTACTTGCCGTAGCTCTCTTCCCCGTCCAGGTCATAGGAGATACTCTTACTGATGCCCTCCAGGACACGGCCAGCGTCCTCCACCTGGCGGCCCAGCACAGTGAACTCCTCCCGCAGGGTGAGGCTCAGCAGACGGCTGGCCTGGCTCCCCTCCCCCTGGGAGCAGCGCCGGTGGTCACTCACCCTGAAGAGCAGCTGGCACTTCTCGGGGTCATCGTTCTCCTCATAGTCCCCGTCGGGCACGAAGTAGTGGTGCAGAGTCCCATTGGACATCTCCGGGTAGAGAGGGCCATCAAAGTAGCCCTGACACAGGTGGCAGAAGAAACCCATCCAGAAGAATTTCAGGAACACCATCCTGGATATTCAGGATGACTGGGACCCAGGAGAAGACTTGTCACCCAGGTACGAGAAAGAAGGTCCCCTTGAGAGTCAGTGCCTCTCTGAGACCGTGTCAGCCTCAGTTACAGCCGGCTTGCTGAATGCTGGCCCTCCCTCCCCAGCAGGCTTCATGTGGCTGTGGCAACAGCGCCTGGGTAGCACTGACTGCAACAGCGAAGGATGTACCCCCGCTGCGCGCTCCGCGCTCGTGGCTGGAACTCAGTCGGCTCTT